TGAAAGAACAAAGCTGGAGACATCGCACTTCCTGATTTCAAAATATATTGCAGAGCTACAGTAATCCAAACAGTATGAGATTGCCATAAACACAGATATAAAACCAATGAGAGCAGAATAGATGGCCCAGATATAAATCCATGCATAATATGGTCGACTGATCTTCAAGAGTGCCAAGAATACATAATAGGGAAAGAATAGCCTATGTAACAAATGATGCTGGGAGAACTGGATATTCACATGAGAAAGAATAAAATTGGACTCTTATGCCATACATAAAAATCAACTCAAAATGAATTAGAGACTTAAACATAAGACCCAAATCTCTGTATCTCCTGTAAAAATATGTTTGGAGTGGTGGAAGCTTTGTGACATTGTTCTTGGCAATGATTTCATGGATATGACATCAAAAGCCCAGGCAACAAAACAATGGACAAGGGGGACTACATCAACCTAATAAACTGCTTTATAGCAAAGAAAAGAAGAGTGAAAAGGCAACCTAAGGAATGGAAGAAAGTATTTGCAAACCAAATATCTAATAAGGGGGTAGTGCCCCACAAAACATAAGAAACTCCCACAACTCAAAATAAAAACAAACACAAAACTACAGAATTAAATGTGCTAAGAACTTAAATAGACATTTCTCCAAAGAAGAAATACAAATGGCCAACAAGTATATGAAAAAAGTGTTCAACGTCACTAGTGATAAGGGAAATGCAAATCAAAACTCCAGTGAGGTATCATCTCACACCTGTCAGGATGGGTATTATCAAAAAAAAACAAGTGTTGGTGAGGTTGCAGAGAAATTGGAATCCTTGCACACTGTTTGCAGGAATGGGCACAGCCCATATGGAAAACAGTATGGAGGTTCCTCAAAAAAACTAAAACAAAGTGCCATATGATTCAGCAATCTCACTTCTGGGCATGTATCCAAAAGAACTGAAATCAGGAGCTCAAAGGTTTAGCACTCCAATGTTCATTGCAGCACTATTCATAGTAGCCAAGATGTGGGAACAACCTAAATGCCCGTTGACAGATGAACTAAAGAAAATATGGTATACAGTGGAATACTGTTCACCCTTTAAAAAGGAAATTCTGCCATATATGTGTGACAACATGGATGAACCTTGAGGACGTTATGCTAATTGAAATGAGCTGGTCACAGAGAAATACTTCGTATTTCCACTTGTCTAAGGAATCTAAAATAGTCACTTCCACTTACATGAGCTATCTAAAATAGTCAAATTCATGGAAACAGTGGACTAGGGGTTACCAGGGGCTGGGTAGGGAGAAATGGGAAGTTTCTAATCAACAGGTATGAAGTTTCAGTCAAGCAAGATGAATAAACTCTAGAGGTCTGCTATACAACATTGTACCTGTAAATAATAACGTCCGCTTAAAAATATAAGAGTGTAAATGTCATTAATTGTTCTTACTACAATAAAAAAAAGGTTTCATTGAAGACATGGCATTAGAGTAGGACCTTTAAGGATGGCAGGATTTGTATAACAAGAGATAAAAAGAACGTGGTAATAAAGGTAAGGAAGCTATTAGTGCAGGGTTTGTTTGAGAAATAGTGTATAAGCAGGATAGTAGCCATGAAAGTTGAAATCTGCTAAGGAGTGTGTAGCAACTCACTTGCCCAATTAAAATTTTTTAAAATTTCATAAAAGAGAAATAACATATAGTGTGTGTTTGATGTGGCTTAAAATTGGGAAAGGTAAACAGAAAAATAATGTAAAGGACTTTGAAATCAAAGGGGTACAGAATTTTATTTGCTGAGCTGTGGAAAGCCATTGAAGATTTTGGAGCTGAGTTGGGACAGCTGTAATCTCCGTTGCAAGAAATGTAGGATGTCTGACATGTAGTAGTCAATTCACATATTTGAGTGATAGATCTTACTGTTCTGTAAGAGCCTCTGGAAATCTTGGGGAAAAATCTTAGTTTGCTAGGTAGTGTTGGAATTTGGCTACAGTGTTGTTATGCTGTTAATGAGAATTCTTCCAGGAAATAATTTTTTAAAAATGACAAATATTAATCAAGTTCCAAGCACTGGACTTTTCTTTCTTTACTAAATGTTAATAAGATTTGAATCAATGTGAATTGTGCTAATGTGTGTCTTCTTTACAGGTGTTAGTAAAATGGCCTTTCGTCATTTAATTGAGTTCACATATACAGCAAAATTAATGATACAAGGAGAAGAAGAAGCCAATGATGTATGGAAAGCAGCAGAGTTCCTGCAAATGCTAGAAGCTATCAAAGCCCTTGAAGTCCGGTAATTATTTTTTTAATGATGTGCAATTAGTCATATTCAGTCATATTCACTATGTTAGTCAATTTATAGTATGTGTCATACAGAA